AAATGAATTTAGAATCCAAAACAGAAAAAGAAATGAAAGAAAACTCACTTCCTCGTCGGAACAGAAAACTGCCAATTTCGCGTCGCTGCCCACCCCGTGTTTGAGTGTACATACACCCCGCACACTTTCTCTGCTCAAGTCCGCATTTACTTTCATCACAATATAAATAAAAGGGTCCCTTTTTTGTTTCTCTGCTGCTGCTGCTGCTGCTTCTGCTGCTGCTGCTGGTGCTGCTGCTGCTTCTGGGGAATCCGCAGCAGCAGCAGCAGGCGCTGCTGCTGCCCCATCCAGCTGCTGCTGCTGCTGATCTGCTGCTGCTGCTGCTGTGTCGTCCGCCGCCCTTTGCGGCTTCAGAGGCAAGAACGCCTGCAGCAGCTGAACTGCCTGGAAGGGGGAAAGCTGCTGCTGCTGCTGCTGCTGCTGCTGCTGCTGCTGCAGGTCGTCCAATAAAAGGGCTGCGTCGGGAGCAGCAGCAGCAGCATCAACAGCAAAGACAGGAGGCGGCGGCAAGACCTTTCGGGGCTTTTTGTTGCGGCCATGAAAAGGAATATATTTCAGGCCCCTCCTTTGCTGCTGCTGCTGCTGCTGCTGCTGCAGCTGCTGCTGCAGCAGCAGCTGTGGCTGCAGCAGCAGAAAGGCTCCGGCGACGCGCAGTCGATCGCGCGCGCAGGTTCCTGCTGCTGCTGCTGCCGCTGTTGCTGCTGCTGCTGGGGCCCTCAGCAGCATTGCCGCAGCAGTTTTGGCCTTGCGCTTTGCTGCTGCTGCTGCTTCTGCTGCTGCTGCTGTGGCACTGAACGTAAAAGAGTTTAAATTCAAGGGGCCAGCAGCATTTGCAACAAAACGTTTAATTAAAAAATGCAAAAAGATAATTAAAACGAATGAGAAGGAGCCAGACTCAAGTTAGGCCTCCAGTTGCTGCTGCTGCTGCTGCGGTGCTGTGCTGCTGCTGCTGCTGCTGCTGCGGCACTAAGCTTACACCCTCTTCCAACTTCTCAGGAGTGGCACTTGAAGTAAATATTAAAATAAATAAAAGGCAGAAGAAATCTTGCAAAACGAAAAGCCAAATGAGGGGGGCCCCCGGGGGGCCCCCTGAGGGGCCCCCAGCTGCTGCTGCTCTCGTATTCAGGTACCCTGGGGGGCCCCTCTGCAGCAAATAAGACTTATTCTGCTCCTGCTCTAAATAAAACAAAAAATGAATATTATTTTTGATATTTTAATTTCAAACATTTCAAGAAAAGTGAATTTAAAAGCTGAGAAGGAATCAAACTGCCGCAGCGGCCAGCGAAGCCGGGAGTCCACGGAAGTTGAATTTTTCGTATTTTCTGTTTTTCCGGGCTTTTCCTTTTCATGTTTTAATTATTTTAATTGAAGAAATGAAAAGGAAATTAAATTTGACACATTTTGATCGTTTTAATCTTCAAAATAGACGAATATTCAGGTTAGAATCCCCTACTACCTCTTCGCTGGCGCTGCTGCTGCTGCCATTTGAAATCCTTTTCCCTCCTTATGAATTCAGATTTATTTGATTTCTTTTTTGTTCCTCTTTTATTAGCCTTTTGTTTTAATTTAAATTCATTTTATTTTTGTTTGTTTAATTCTAAACCCTTTCAACTTTCTAAATTTCAAACTTTTGAATGAAGTTCCTTTTCTTCACTTTTGCTTTTCAGTTCAACCTTTTAATGAATTCTTTTTTACTTTTAATTTTCGTTCTAAAATTAATTAACTATTTTTATTTTTATTTTTAATTTTATTTTAAATTTTAATTTCGTTTTTATTTCGAAAGATGCTTCAGGCTGAGCTGTACAGCTTCGACTTGAGTCCGAGGCGAAGATGCTAAACCCTAAACCCTAAACCCTAAACCCTAAACCCTCTGCAGGGATCTGCTGGCATGGGTTCGCGTTTCTTTCTAAAGTGAAGACTGGAAGGAAAGACCCCAGCCTAAACCTGCAGCAGATTCAGACAGCAGCAGCAGCAGCAGGAGCAACAGCAGCAGCAGGAGCAGCAGCAGCAGCAGCGAAAGCAGCAACAGCAGCAAAAGCAGCTATAATGCAAGGAATAATTACTCATAGACACTTTTGAGTTTCAAATTCATTAAAGGAACTTGAATAGTTCAGCTGCCTTCCTGCTGCAGTCCCGCTCAAGATTCAACTTGCTGCTGTTGCTGCTGTTGCTGCTGCTGCTGCTGAAGCAGAACCTGTTGATTTAAGATGATAAGGAATCAGAATTAAAAGAAAAATGAAAATAGACCTTCAGTGGTGACAGAAGGCAGCAGCAAACAGCGCTGAGCTAAATCCGCTGCAGCAAGAACTCCTGCAGAAACAGCACAGCAGCAGCAGCAGCAGCAGCAGCAGCAGAAGCCGTTGCAGCAGCAGCTTGTGCTCAAGCAGCAGCAACAGGTCCTGCAACAGCAGCAAGCTGCGCTGCAGCAGCAGCTCGCTCAGCAGCAGCTGCAAACTGCGTTGCAGCAGCACCCGCTCCAGCAGCAGCAGCTCGTGGCAGAACAGCAGCAGCAGTTCGCGGCAGAACAGCAGCAGCATCTCGTGGCAGAACAACAACAGCAGCAGCAGCAGCAGCTGCTGCTGCTGCTTCTGCTGCTTCAGCAGCAAAAGGCGAGAAGGCCCTACTACTGGGGCGGGGGCACTGGGGCTGGGGTGTACAGATCCTGCAGGCCTGGGTGCTGCATGTAGGCGAGGACTTTTTCTGCTGCTTCTTTGTCTGAATTTGCAAAATAAATGCAAAAACAAATTAAAATTAATAAAAATAAATGAAAATAAATAAAAATAAATAAAATAATTAAATGTACTCATTTATTTGATCCAAAATGCTGCAGAAGACCCCTGGCAGCAGCAAAAGGCGTCGAGGCTTCGCCACGCAGCTGCAGCAAACCGAAAGCTGCAGCAGCAGCAGCAGCAGCAAAAGGTATTAAAGCTTCACCACGCAGCTGCAGCCGCAGCAGCAGCAAAAGGAAGTAAAGCCTCCCCACACAGCTGCAGCCTTTATTCTGTTTGCCACAGCAGCAGCAGCAGCAGCAGCAGCAGCAAAAGGCATAAAGCTTTACCAATTTCTCCGCCTAAAGGAATTAAACGAAAACAATTTATAAGAGAAGTTCCCTGGGCCTCTCCGCAGGCAATGACGGGGCTTTGGAGAGCCGCGGTGGGCGGGCAGGCGAGCGTGCAGGAGATGTCCAGGCCTGAAGAGGCGGCAAAAGAGCTCGAAATGGAATTTAAACTGGAAAATATAATTTAATTTGTTAAATTTGATCTAAAAAAGCGAAAAAAACGAAAAAAACCCACCGTCTACCGCGCGGATCGACGCCACGCTGCCCTGCAGCTGCAGCAAAGTGCCCAGCAGCGAAACTTGCTTCCCCGAGAACGCCGGAAGGTCGCAGCCGCGCACAAGTCTGAAAAACCAAAATGCAACAAAAATGGGAAATGGAATTCATCAAAAAGGACAAAATAAAGGCCTAAGTGACGCAATTGGCCACCTGGAACCCCTCCGAGTCTGCTGCTGAAGCCAGCAGCAACAAAAGACTCCCGAAATGCTGCAGCAAATTCCAAATTCCACTATTCGAATTTGAGTGCTTTGCTGCACCTGCCGGCGACGGGGAAGTTCGAAGCTGCGGCGGCTGGCGGCGGCATGCCGGAGTTCGAATCTGGGGGGAAATAGGCACACATTGCGGCTTTTTCTCCGGCGAAAAGCTCCAATATCTTCTTGAAAACGTGGAAATAAGTAAATAAAACTCCCGAAGCGAATAAAAAAGGTGTTTAGCGCGGAGTTCGGGAGATTTCGAGTGCGGATCGTGCGCCTGTGCGCAATCGGCTGCAGAAGACACCGCGCGGTGGCCCAGCTTTCGGCCAGAAACGAAAACTGAAATGCTCCTACGCCCTTTTAAATGCAATTTAATTCTAAAAAAGAGTGGAAACCGAAAGAAAAAGTGGAAGACGCAGCGAGAAAGGTCGCCAGACCCCAGGAAACAGCAGATGCCAGTGCAGCAGCAGCTGGGGTGGCCTGCAATTTGAATTCCCTCCGCCCCAGAAGCTGAAACGAGACTCTAAAGAATCGCAAAGAAAGCGCGAAATTCAATTTGAAAGAATAAAAAGACGAAGAGCTGTTTGTTGCGCTGCTTTCGGGTTGGGGCTGCTGGGCAGCTGCGCGTGGCGGCCGTTGGAAGCAGCGCAGCAAGCTCGCGGCGAGCGCCTGCGACTTTGCTGCTTTTTCTTGAATTGAATTTGTTGATTTGCCTCTAATATTTGCCCTGACACACGCGATTGCAGTAGCAGCAGCAGCAGCAGCAACAGCTACTTCGTGGTTTCTGCAACGCTGCAACATACCTAGTGGGGTGATCCGACGCCCCTGCCTCTCTTCTGCTGCTGCCCTTCCTGCTGCAGCTTCTCTTTGCCTCTGCCTTTCAAGAGAGCGCCAAAGCGGGACTTAACTTCTGCTGCGCGCAGCAGCAGCAGTAGCAGCAGCAGCAGCAGCAGTTCAGGTTGCACCCAGCCGCAGGCCCAGGCGCTGCAGCGGGAGGCCAGAAAGCGGCCAAAAAGGTAACAGACAAAGACCCAAGTGAAGCAGCAGCTACTGACTTCAGCAGCAGTGCCTGCTGCACTAGCAGCAGCAACAGCAGCAGCAGCAGCAGCAACGGCAGAAACAGCAGCAGCAGCAGCAGGAACAAGGGCTACTTGTTTGAGTTCGTCTCTGCGAAAGCGAAAAGGCGGGCGCGTAACTCGACAGCAGCAGGACCAACAGCAGCAGCAGCAGCAGCAGTGGCTGCTGTTCATTTCTTTTTGTTTTTCTTTTATTTGTCTCGGGCTCTCGCAATCCAAGCCACTCTTGCTGAAGTATTCAGCAGCAGCACTTGGCAGCAGAAGCAGCAGCAAAAGCAGCAGCAGAAGCAGCAGCAAAAGCAGCAGCAAAAGCAGCAGCATAAGCAGCAGCAAAAGCAGCAGCAAAAGCAGCAGCAAAAGCAGCAGCAAAAGCAGCAGCAAAAGTTCTTTTTGCAGATGAGAATTGATGGAGGGGCAGCAGCAAAAGAAGCAGCAATAGAAGCCCCGGCGGCAGGTGCATCGGCAGCAGCAGCAGCAGCTGCTGCTGCTTGCCGCAGCGGAAGATTCATGAAGCCCCCAACATCTCCACCTGCTGCTGCAGCTGCTGCAGCAGCTTCTCCCGCAGCAGCAGGAGCAGCTAGTTCCGCTACTGCTGCTCCCCCGCCTGCTTCCCCTGTTGCTGCAGCAGAAGCAGCTAATTCTGCTGCAGCAGCAGAAGCAGCTGATTCCGCAGCAGCAGCAGAAGCAGCTAGTTCTGCTGCTGCAGCAGAAGCTGCGAGCTCAGACTCCGAGTGGACGGACTTGTCTTCAGTCACAAGCGAGAGCAGCAGCAGCAGCAGCAGCAGCAGCCGCAGCAAGGGCTGCAGCAGCAGCAAGCAGCAGCAGCGCAGCAAAAGGCACATCAGCAGCAGATTCGCGTGGAGCTGCCTCAACTCGGTTTCTGCTGCTGCAGACAGTCCAGCGAGCAGCAGCAACAGCAGCCCAACAGGAGCAGCAGCAGAAGCAGCAGCAGCAGCAGAAGCAGCAGCAGCAGCAGCAGAAGCAGCAGGACCGTGCGCAGTGCTGAACCCGATTGACTACGGCTTTGGGCCCTACAGCTGGTCCCCGGACCGCCTGTCGACAGCAGCAGCAGCAGCACCCGCAGCAGCAGCAGCAGCAGCAGCAGAGTCCGATGCAGAGTCTCTGTGGGGAGACTACGAAACCAACAGCTGGGGCCTCGATTTAGATTCGCTGCTGTCAGATGCAGCAGCAGATGCAGAAATGGAAATTGCTGCAGCACAAGGCCTCAACGTGCCCCTGCCAAACATCCTGGGTGAGCTAGGGTTTAGGGTTTAGGGTTTAGGGTTTAGGGTTTAGGGTTTGGGGGAGTTCAGCTCGTCGTTTCACGGCTAAGTGCTTCCGTTTCATTTTGCATTAGTTTGTGGGCAGCAGCAGCAGCAGCAGATTTCGTCTATTTCATATGGTGATTCTTTTAATGCTGTTGCTGCTGCTGCTGCTTCTGCTGCTGCTGCTGCTGCTGCTGCTGCTGGGGTCTGCTGCTGCTACTGCTGCGGTTACTGCCTGCACTGCTACCGCTTCTGTTGCTGTTGCTGCTGCTGCTGCTACTCCTGCCGTTGATGCTGCTGCGCCTGCCCCTGCTACTCCCGCTTCGCTGCTGCTGCTGCTGCTGCTGCTGCTTCTTTGCAGCAGCAGAAGAAGACTGCTGGGCTGCGGTGGTCCGCGAAATGATGCAGACGATGAATGTGCGGGATTGGCGTCTTTACTTTGCATTGAGGGTAAATGAAAAATAAATAAATAAAAATAATAAATTAAAATAAACAAATAAATAAATAAATAAATAATAAAACTATTATTGTTCTCTTGTTTGCTGCTGCTGCTGCTGCTGCAGGCAGAGCTGCTGCTGCTGCTGTCCGA